GTCGATCGTTTTAAATTTCAAAGTTACCACAACAAGCTGCAGCGCTAGGAACGTATGCCTGGCAAGTGACCTATGTTTGAGGATGAGGATGAGGAGTAGGAGGATGATGATGAGTAGTTTTTTTTTTTTATTTTTTATTACTTGAACCATTTTAATTTATTTTGTAGTTACTCTTGAAGTGGTTATTTTGTATTATATTTATTGTTATATTTGTTATGACTTACTTTATTATGATTGTTGTCTGTGTGCTCTTTACACTCTAAAATATAATTATGAATATGTTCATAATTTATTTTAATTTGTGATTCCATATTACAGAAAATTATTATGTGCAATTGCTCACTGCACATTCGGATGACAGTTTAGATACGGCTACACTGCATTTGATCGCACGACAACCCATCCAGACCATCGTCTGAATACACACACAATAATTTCTCCCATATATCTACCCCCAAGATCACTTCATGACTTAGTCCCAATAAGACCAAATAAACTCAAAAACCAATTCAAAAGCCGGCCATCCCCTACTTGGCCGGCAATACCCCCACCTCACCTCACCTCCTTATATATAACCACACATCACCCTAATCCCCAGAAGTCAAACCTCCATCAACTCATTCAAAAAAAAAAAAAAAAAGCTTTTTTTTTTTTTTTTTTCCTTCACATAAAATCAAGAGAGGAGATCACCATGAGGCAGGCAGGAGTCTACTCCGGCATTCTCTGCGGCAAAAACGGACCTCACTCCCTGCCATTATCGAGAATAAAGAAGATAATGAAGCACTCCGGCGAGGACGTGAAGATGATCTCCTGCGAAGCTCCCCTCGTCTTCTCCAAAGCCTGCGAGCTCTTCATTGAGGAGCTCACCATGAGAGCCTACAAGGTTACCGTTCAGGGAAAGCGCAGGACCCTCCAGAGGGAGGATATCGCCACCGCCATCTCCGCCACCGATGTCTTCGACTTTCTCCTCGAGATGATTTCCGCTTCCGTCGCCACCACCGCCACTGACGACGTAAGAGCCGCTGCTAAGAGCGCCTAACTTCCCAGACATCAATTGTTATGTACGTGCGAAGGAGAGAAAATTAGGGACAGAATTAGCATGCATGCCGACTCCACAGTTGTGTTCATGTGCACAATCATGAATATAACCATGTTACAAGAGCCCACATGCATGCCAGGAAGACTTTACATACATATCACTCAATTCTCATCCGACTCCACAGTTGTGTTCATGTGCACAATCATGAACATAACCATATTACTAGAGCCCGCATGCATGCTAGGAAGACTTTACATACATATCACTCAATTCTCATCTGTTTACATATGTTACACTCAAAATTTAGTTCTTACATACATGCCACATTTCCTAATGCATGAAAAGGTTTAAAAGCTTAAGTTGTGATATAAAAATTTTGGGTGGTATAAATGTAAAATATAAAATTTTGGTGTTTGATGTAAATACGGGAGAATTGGGTGGTATGTAAGTAAGTGTCCCGTGACTGAATGTTGTAGCACGTGTGTATTCACTGAGTTCTTAATTTTAGAAGGTGATGACCATATAATTGTGTATTCATTATGATGAGTACATGGTTATATTTCTTTTTTTTTTTGTAATTTGAATCTAATAATTTCTTTTGCACAATTGTTTATGCAAATGTCAATATGTCATGTGCTGCACAGTGCACCAATCACAGTTCACAAGCCATCTAATTTATTAAAGATTTGAGTATTATGAATGTAAATATGGAAAAATTATGCTTGAGGTGTGTAAATACATAAAAATTGTATAGTATGTACCTAAATGACAATTTTTATGCATCATTCGCTAAATAAAAAGGATAATTTACATAAATACCGCCCAATGCTTATGTGTTAGATATGACTCTCTATGCTCCCAAGGACGTAGACATCTTTGCCGAACCTCATTAAATTTTGGCGTTCTTCTGGATTTGTGTCGATTTTTGTTTTTCTTCGCCCTAATTTCTCAAACTTTGATGCAGTATGAGAATGCAGTTGAATATAGTTAATTTTTACAGAATTGTTTCATATTTTTCCATTATTATTGACATATTTCAGGTTTATAAATATAAATATCAAATTTTAATTGTTAAAAATGAAAATATATAAGAATTATGTAAGAAAATCGCTTTAAAATTAGCTTATAATTATTAGATTTGTATTAAAACTAGTGCTATATATGACGGACTTTTATTGCACTAATCTCAAATTAAAGTAGATGGTTTTTAGCGCATCCCTATTAATTTTGGGATAATTACATACAGACCACCCAAAACAAATTTATATTTACAAATTGATGACATTGGCACCATCAAACTATTGAGAATTGGATAAAAATAAAAAATATGGGTTGGCTTGTAAATAGCAAGTTTTGAGTGTTATGCGTGTAATTGCCCGAACTTAAATTAAACGAAACCCTATTTTAAGAACAAGATAATTTTCATCAATAAAAAATAAACATACAAAAATGAAGACTAAAGCGACTTGGCATGGAAATAAGACATCCAGATAACATATATTCGGACGACGGACGTAACATTTTCTTTGCAAATCCGGCAAATCTTTGAATCTCTAAAGCAAAATGAAGAGCATATGGAACAACAAATTAATTTTTTGACTATTTTTATTATTTACATACATGTACTAATGTATTTACACATTTGACATCTAAACTCTAATTTTTATATATATACCATATTATCTACTTATATAAATCTATATTTCACTTTTTGAAAATTAAATTTATAATATTTTTAATGTGGTATGAAATATTATGATGGTATATATGTAGGGGTAGAACTTTAAGGGAGGCAAAATGAGAACAAAATATTAAATTTTATTATTTAGATAGAAGAATTATAAGTTTCAGGATGGTATAAATGTAAGAAAATAGAATTTAAGTGTTAGAAAATGTAAATAAATTAAAATTTGCGGGTGTGTATGTAAAAGTATTTATTAATTAGCTTAATATTTAATCATAGATTTTAAATTTGTCGTATTTATTATACTTATATTTGATTTATAGCTGGCGTTGGAAGGCGAATTGGACCTTCTTAAACCATTTCTTTTGGGCGCTTTCAAAGACTGCTTGGAAAATTTCATACTAAATTACTGATATTTTAAAAAAGTCATATTAGCCGTTTTAACATCTACTAAATAGATTTATTAATTTCAAATCTGTCCATGAAAGCGCTAAATGTAAATTTCTTATGTGATTGAATTAAATTATGAATTCAATTAAGGGTCCGTTTGGGGCTCTGATGCGGTGGTGATGGACACCGCACCACAGTTTTGTCTGTTTGAATAAACTACATTTTGTCAATTTTTTCAAAAAACTGTCACTTAAATATATGTTTTCCCACTGATATTAACTATGTGTGGTGACAACTCACTTAAATATATGTTTTCCCACTGATATTAACTAGGTGTGGTGACAACTTCTGACTAGTTTGAGTTTTTCAAAAAATCAAAAAAAAAAAAAATTGTAACAGGCACCGCAGCTTTTTTAAACATTATAATATTTTTCAGAAGCTTAACAACTGCTCCAAATAGATCCTAAATGTGAAAAGCATTTTCATGCGTCAAAAACCTTGTCATTCGGGAGTGAAAGTGAGCCGGTTCGAGTTTATCGAGTTGGAAACTTGAGCTTGGGCATTAATAAATGGCCAATGGGCTTAGGGTTGGGAAACTATACTACGAATATGTGAAAATAAAAGAAGAGGGTTTCTAGTACGGATTTAAAAACCTTCCATTAAACTTTTCAATGAGTTTGATCTCCAAATTGGCTACGTGAGTCACATAAAATATTAGACGTAGCTAATACAAAAGTGAGGATGAGGAGCATTGGTTCTCAACATTGATTCTATCATTTCCTAGGGATTGAGAGTGATGTAATGTCAGAAGTTGGAGATGATAACCCATTTCTTACTATTGTATGTGTAGATAATGTTGTGTAGAATGTAGGAGATGATGACCTATCAATTTCTATCATGCAGAGTTAACTCAAAGTTATCAAATAAGAAGAATCAATAATATGAAGTATTTGATTTGTGGTTTTATGGAACATTTAATTGAGAGTCACAAGGCAATGTATCTTTGTGTCTTTAATCATACCATATTGATAAAATGTGATTGTCCTTCTTCATGTGTTTACTATCAAGATTGGAAGATGGTTCCAAAGAAAGGGAGGTATGAGTGGGCAATGAAGGCACAAAACATTTTTAAAAGTGGATTGCACCCATAACATGCTTAGATAAATAACTAACTATTCTTTTAATATACTAATTGCATAAATTTTTTATCATGTTATTCGCTTTGATTTCAATCTTTTTGCAGCATAGACACGTGTAATGTTACCTAATAAGGAAGCAAATATGATGCCACTCTAATCTTCTTTAAAGTTAAAGAAGCACAACAAAGATGACATTGTTCTGTGTACTGTAAGATAAGTCATGTTAAAAATCTAACAATAAATTTATGTAGCACTTACATATATAAAACAAATCATGCATTATAGCTATTTTGTAGTTTATAATGTTGAATGCATGAGATACAATAAATCATCCACCAAACTTCAAAGAAATATCTTTTTAAAATTTCGCTCAAGTTGATATCATTCTAAAGAATCAGATTATGTATGGATTTATTTTATAATGATTAAAATTCAAAAACTCAAAGGTAAATAGTTAAAAAATATTAGATTATATTGTTAAATCATAGCAAATAGTGCATTAATTATTTAATTTCTAAATGAAATATATTTAATAATGTTGTGTTGTAATTATTATGATTGCTTTTTAACTATATCAATTTTCTTGTTTGTCATGTTATATTAGTTATGATTGTACTCTCATTATTATACTTATAATATATTTATTGTCCCTGAATTATAATTTTTGTGATTTCAACACTATATTAAAATTCAATTTCTCAATATAAATATATCAATCGAAATATAAATTTAATATCATATATTAATAATACAATTACTAAGTTTAATTAAATTAAATTTATTTTTTATTTCTAATTGTGGTAAATAATTAAAATTTTGCTAATAAAATAATCCTCAATAAGAATTATATTAAACTAATTATTTATTAAGAGATAAGTCAATATATATCAATTAGAAATTAATTAATTATTATAATAATTAATAATTATTTTAAATTTATTTAATTCCATTAAATTTTGATATATAACTATTTATCACATCAAATTATTAATTTGATAATACATTAATTAATTATTAATTCTTAAAAAATTAAATAAAAATACCCAAAACCTCTAAACGCTGCCCACACCTTCCCGACCTCCCCCCCTCCCATTTCGCTCGGAATCGCCGCGTATCGAAGCCCACTGAAACTCCCATCTTTCTCTACCTTCCGCCCCGTTGCTCCTCGGCGCCATTGGCGAAGGTACTTCCTCTTATCGACTCCCCTTCTTGCTCTCTGTCTCTCTGCGCGCTCCCGTTGCCGGATTCACTAAAACCGGGATTTAGGTAAAAAATGGGCCAAATCTGGCCGCGTAAATTCTCACTTAAATTCAATACCAGACAGCCCCTTAGGTGTTAGATATGCAAATACATAGAAATTGGGCTGATGTATGTAAATGCCCCATCGTTTTACTGTGTGTGATCAATTATTGGGATAATGACATACAGATCACCCCAAACATTGATATTTAACACAAAGGTGATTTTTTTAAAGGGGAAATTACATATAGACCTCCCTAGATTTGCTCTTTAGAAATCAAGCACCCTCTTGCAACCATTTATCATATAAAAATTCATGGCAAAACCCCAACCCAAAATTTTCATTTTTTATCAAATTCTCAATAAGATCCTGAAACACATAAATACATCAGTTCGTTAATTCAAAAAAAATCACCTTGTCTGTTAATTTGTAAATATCAATGTTTTGGGTATTCTGCATGTCATTATCCCTTATTTGAACAACTCAAACTATTGAAAAATTGATAAAAGAGATTATTACAGACATACTACTTGTCATTTTTTATATG